ATAGACACATTTCCTCATAGACGTCTATGGGAGCAGAGGAGTCGCCCCCTGCTGGTCACTACACAGAATGCAGCTTTAAGGTTACAAGAGAACGCACACACATACAAACACACAAGCTTCACCTAAAGCCAGATGTTATGAACCGACAGATGTGATTGTGAGAGCAGAAATGTTGAATCTGTTCAGTGAGAAGAGATGGACGACTCACATAAAGAGACACACACACACAAAGACACACACACACACACACACAAGCGATCGTGTGTAGTTAAGATGCTTGATGTCACAAATGTGTGTGTGTGTGTGTGTGTGTGTGTGTGTGTGTCTCTGTGTGTGTGTGTGTGTGTGTGTGTGTGTGTGCATGTGTTCATGTGTTCATGCAAGACGAGCTCTGATGTGACAACGTTGCAGACAAAGACAAATCAAAGAGAAATTTGTCAAATCAGCTGAAAGTTGTATTTTATGTTTGTGTGTGTTTGTGTGTGTTTGTGTGTGTGCGTGTTACATTTCTGCATCAGAGCATGAAGGTGTGTGTTTGTATTTGTTTGTGTGTTTTTTGTTTGTGTTGTGTGTTTGTTTGCGTGTCCCTCTGCTGTCACACTGAGCTCCCGTCACCCCCACCTCATTACCCATCATCCCTTGCACACGGCCGAAGGGAGACGCCTCGCTGGATGCGCCTTTGTGGAGATGATGCAACGCCACGCAGGAGCTGCTTCGAGGAGGAAGGAGAGGAGGAGGAGTAGAAGGAGGTAGGAGATGAGGAGGAGAAGGAAGGAGGAGAGGAGGAAAGGAGGGGACGAGGAGTGTTTGTGTAGTTCTAGGTTCAGCCTCTAGGGGGCAACATGACACCAGCTTGAAAGTAATAACCGTCGTTTTATCAGTAACCAACTGTGTAAAAACACCCAAAACAACTTCAAACAAAAAATCAAAGAATATCACATAATACGTCATAATATGTGAGATATTATGACGTATTTTATGGATTTTAGAAATGCAAAATGTATAAGAGCAGTAATGTATAAAGATGAATATTTACCTTTGATAAGAAGTAGAGAAGAATAAAATAGCAGACACACACTCACTCACTCAGTTTGCACATACAGGCACTTCTGTTTCATCCCCATATTGTCATTAAATATAATATTATTCGCTATTATTATCATTATTATTGTAAGTATAATAACAAGCATTTTGATGATATTTGTATTATCAGGCCTGTTATTAGGCGTCCTTCCCTGTACACATGTTGGTGTCTTAATCTGCTTCACTACAAATGAAGCGATTCTTATTCTCACAGCAGCAGTGAAACTTCTTTATGACACAATGTGTGTGTTTTGTGTGCAGCTCTGCATTCTGTCTAATGGCCACCAGGGGGCGACTCCTTGTAGGAATCACACTTTATCTGCAGAATTGTAATATTTGATGCTAAATTGTTGGTGATTAATCTCAACTCTAATCTTATTTTTTTGATATCATTTGTTTGACGTCTTTGTGAACTTTTGTTTTCATCCCTTCCACGACGTGGACGCGTGGTGACGCGTGCTATCGGGCTCCATTGATGATTTTTATAACCGTCATGCTCAAGGTGAACACACTCCGAGCTGATTGAACTAACGCAGATCAGCGGTTCTGGAACCGGATACTCAGAGTTTCCCGTCTCAGAGGTTTGTTGAACCTCCTTTCTGGAAAACCCCCCTGAAGGATTATGCGATTTCCCTCCTGATTTCCCATGATCCTCTTGGGTTGGCTTTTGGGTGAACAGAACTTTTACCCAGAGCTCAGCTGTCACCTGTGGTCACGTGACTGGCGGTCCACATCTGTGTCGCACCTGGATGGACTCTAAAGGCTCTGTGCTTATACATACATGTACACACATCTGTATGTACACATCTGTATGTATGTGTGTAAACAAAGGCTCAGCCGTCTGATTGGCTGAGCCAGCAGCTGCTTTTCAGGCTCTCTGTTGTAACATGCCGCACCCTGCTGTGACCCTGATCTCACACACCACACACACGCACACACACACACACATTAACTCAAGCTCGTGTCAGGACAACAACACATGTAAACATAGAGGATATTATTTATTCCTCCTCCTGTTTTAGTAAAAAAAAGAAAAACAATTACCAGAAAGTGTGGATTCATTTTTTGTCGCGTTGCCCTGAAACAACAACAATATTTAGTCACGTTAAAACCACACAAACCAGCAGTCGATAACAATCATGACATCTTGTGCGCGTGCGTGTATGTGGGTGTGTGTGTGTGTGTGTGTGTGTGTGTGTGTGTGTGTGTGCCTCAATGCTCCTCAGAGGAGCGTGTTCAAACATGGCCGACGGTTTAACTGCAGATAACAACAGAAACTGAAAGAAAACACACGGAACCGCTCAGCAGAACACGTCGTACCTGCTCTAATCAGTGTGTGTGTGTGTGTGTGTGTGTGTGTGTGTGTGTGTGTGTGTGTGTTTAATGAGACAACAGCTGTTTTGTTTTGTCTGTCAAACTGATTGTGTGCAAATATTGTTTGTTTTTTAACAGACAATCTTGAATATCATCATCAATATTTATTCATTCAAGTTCTACAGAATAAAGAGACTCTTGGTCCTTCGCATTGACTTGTTGGTACTTTCCTCCTTGTGGTTGTGAGGGAATTCGACCTCAGGACGAAGAGCGATTGGACCAGCGTCTCAGCAGCGTAACAACGCACACGTCTTCATTATTAACACAACTGCTTTGATGTGAAGAAGACGCTGACCTGCGTCTTCAGTTGGACCGGCTCACGAGTCACAAAGTCGCATCAGTTGTTTCTCCTGCTTGTCATTCCAGGTCCTGTCCTCAACACGAGACCATCTCCCTGTCTTCACCTGGTCCTCGTGGCCGTCCCGCCTGCAGCCTCGTCGGTCCCTCACTTGCCCTCTGCCGGATTGTCTCGCGTATCCCAGGTTCTCCAGCGTTTCTCATTTGGCCTGATGTCCTGGTTCTCGTGTAGACGTTCCCTGCCTGCCCCTCTGGGTTTGTTCTCCTGTTGGACGGACGTCCCGGTTTTCACCCTGACTGAACAAGTAGAGAACTTTGATTGGATTCCTGTCTCTGAGTTGAGCTTTTGGGTTCTAGTGGCTGTAAACACACGTGTCTCCTACGTAGCAGGAGACACCGAGTAGAAACACAAACATCTGGTCCTGTGACGTTTTACTTCCCGTGTAGTGTTGAGTGCACGTTTTCCCCTTTAACCTAAAGACTCATTCCTGAGGTCCAGATCCACTCAGGTCCTCTTGTTGTGTCCACAGAGGCTGTGCCACGTGGGGGAGTCTCTCTCTCTCTCTCTCTCTCTGCATGGGGGAGACCAACCCGGTGAACCCGGAGTGGCTGGCGGCCCTCCGGCTGACCGGGCTGCTTCACGGTGGGACGACAGGAAACCGGCCGGGACCTTCTCCGAGCCGCTGGCTCCCGCCGCAGACGCTAAACGTTAAAACACAGCTTTCACCTTCGAGCAGGTTTTGTATAAGAAATGCAGACGCTAAAGCTAGCAGACACTTCTGCTTATTTCAAATAACTAAATAAACTCGTCTTCCCAGCACACAACTTAGTTAGGTTGGTAGAGAGACCTCTGTTTTCTATGACTGTTTACCTCACAGCACAGAAGGTCTCACCCACGCCCGCACAACCGAAGGAGGAGGGTGAGGTCACCCTCGCGGCGTTCCTGTTGTGGTGGTGCCTTCAGGGAACCTGGGAGCGCAGCAGCTGCTGGGGCGGACTAACAGGAGTGGTATTTGAGAGCTGCGCTCACTCACTTACAGGAAAACAGGCTCACTTCCTGCCGCTGTGGTCCGATGACACAAACATCCAGAGTTTGAGCCAAACGGTCTGGATCTACACGTTTGGTCGTCCTTATTGAGGACACGCTGATTGTTGACAGGGTGAGCAGGAACCCTCGAGAACCCTTGTGAACAACCAAGACCCCTGAGGAACCCATGAAAACACTTCATTTGAAATGTGTTTTTGATGCAAGTAGCCGTAGTTTGCTCAGAACTGGCAGAGGAAGACGTAAAGGTCGACTTGGCCTTCCGAACATCTGGGCCACAAAAGAGAGAAAAAATATAAAGGTGAATGAATCAGCAGAACCATCTGATCAGTCATCATTTATTCCCATTTCCCATTCAGCGTCCACTCTGTCATCAAAGACAAAAGAAACTCCTCGGGCGGAAATCTGACTCTTTGCCTCCAGCTTCGACAATAATGATGATAATAATGATAATAATGATGATAATAATATTAATAATGCTGATAATAATGATAAGATCGATCAGCATGCTGCTGATGGAGACAGACTCTTAACTGTGTCTCTTTAAACTACACAGAATAAAACAGGCTTGTCAAGTCAGGTTTGACTCCTGAAAACAGCTTTACGTTTAGAATTGACGTCACACGCTTGAATGGATCTAATCTCATCGCACAGCGCGCGCCCAGCGCGCGCACAGCGCGCGCACGCTCACCGTGTTCAGTTCCTGCTACAGGAAGCGGGGACCGTTTCTCTCTCACGTGGGGGCATCACGCCCCGGGCGACCGGAAGTCTGATGGAACCCGAGCCGCGGAGCCTTCTGATTGGCCGACGGGCCACGTGATGGAGGCGATAGCAGCTCCTTGTATGGGCACGGAGGCGCTCTGTGTCTGGCTGAAGCATCGGGTTCAACACGGTCGCGTTTTGCACGTAAACACACGCGCTTCTATTGTGAGAGCAGCTCCACACGTTCACACACCCGCTCAGTTCAGCTGCATCCGGGTGTTTTCGGACTGCTCTGTGTGTCTCTATATATTTATATATATATATATATATATATATATATATATATATATCAGTATGCAGAGTTTGGTATTTTAATTTGTGTCGGATTTGAATAGATGCGTTTGTGTATACTAATAATTATTCATGTATTAGAGCTGATTATTTTACCTTTCACATCCCGTAAGTGCAAATAGTGTAATGTCTCTTTACACGTTATCCCTGATTTTTAGTAACTGTGACTTATAAACATATTGCATACATGCAAAGCGTAAATAGCTGCAGATTACAGGGTCGTGTGTGACGGTATTTCGAATCAGTATTTCCAAATGTGTTTGATGCCAAACACACATCATCTGGGTTCAACCGGTGCTCGTGCACGTTTAAACACGTAAAGAGGAACACGCGATGTTTTGTGGACATTCGGCGTGAATTAGGACTCATAAACAAACCGGTGCTTTGTTTGTTTTGCCCAGACAGACAGCAGCAGACAGTTGGAGTTATGTAAGGGCCGTTTGAAGGGAGCGGTCCAACCACGCCCGGCCGGCAGGGGGGACCACTTCACCGGGGAAAGGAATTATATGTTTCCGCTGTTGCGATATTTTTCAACGCGACATTTGCATTTCATTCAATTGTAACTTGATGATATATTCAGCGAAAATGTGCAAACACGTAGTTTATTTGGGTTTGAAAAGACCCCGCCCCCCCCTCCCCTCGGGGCGAAGATGGTTCGGTCCGAACCGCGTCATCCATTGTTTACAAATCAAGCCTGCCCGTTGGTAACTGCTGAGCGGCGTGCTGAGAGAGAGGAGCGGCCCGGCGGCGCTCAGTCAAACCGACGACCACAAGAAAAACACCACCCGAAACAACTCACCGAGCCCGCGACGCGCCGCCATGCCGTGTCGGAAGGAGAACTACATCTTTCTGGAGCAGTCCGTCACCGTCGACTCCAAAGAAGTGGACGCGCTGGTGACGAAGATCGGCGAGGCGCTGCAGCTCCACAACAATAACAGTGGCGGCGGGATCCAGAAGACGGTGTCCGTGTCCGTGTCCTGCCTGCACGGGCTCACCGGCGGCGGGAACCCGGCGGCTGTAATCAGCGGAGGAGGAGGAGGAGGAGGTGCGGGAGCTCCGGCGCAGAGGCGCCACGGCTGCTGCATGAGGCTCCGGAACCACCGGGGGAGCAGCAGCAGGGCGAGCCCGTACAGCGTGCCCGGTTCTAACGGCGACCGGGACTGGGACCAAATCAAACCGTGGCACAAGAAGAGGATTGAGGCGGAGGAGGACGACCCGCACCGGCTGCTGCAGGAGCTCATCCTATCGGGCAACCTGATCAAAGAGGCCGTGAGGAGGCTGCAGTTCTCCGCCGCGGAGTGTGGAGATTTCCCCAAGGCGGTGGACAATGTGCCGAGCTGATACCGGAGCGGGCGAGCCGGGGTCCGACCCCCCCCCCCCCCCCGTATGGACACGCAAACTGACTGTTTTAGCGTTTAGTAGCTACGTGTATTTCCTATTCCGTTTGTTACTCTGCGGTTATTTGGCCACCCGGCTGAATGAGCCGTGTTGTTTTGCTAGCAGTTAGCCTAGCCAGCTAGCCGCCGGGCTAAAGGGCCGTGTTGTTTTGCTAGCAGTTAGCCTAGCCAGCTAGCCGCCGGGCTAAAGGGCCGTGTTGTCGATGTTTGAATGTCTCCTGGTGGGGGGAGGCGGGGGTTCAAACCATCGACCTTTAACCGACCGTTTCATTGATAAACAAATGGAGATATTTCGTCCTTTTTCAAAAGCTAATCTCGTGTGATTTAAGATCAAAACACAACAATATGTTTGTGTGACGTTAGTTCTGTGAACAATGGGGCTGATGAATGAACGAGTCAGTGAACTGAGACCGGAAGTGGAAGCTTATTCATTTATTTACCACTTTGTCCCCTAACCGTCCTGGGGGGAAGTAAACCATTTATTTTACAATCTCATGCTGCTGCACAGAGAAGAGAGGAAGTGCCCCCTTCCATACTCCTCCAATTCCACTTTGTTGGGTAGTCCGTTAACTTTACCCAGACTAATCTCATCTATATATATATATATATATATATATATATATATATATATATATATTAGAGCTGGGGGGTGGTAATGTTCTTTTTGGACACTGTGGTGCTCGCTCACCTTTTGGAATTGTGACTGAGGGGTTGTGTTTTTGCATTTGTTTCTTCTCTGTGTAAAAGAAATCAGCACGACTGCTTCGTAACGAAGTTTCCGATAATGTTCCTGAATATTCAGGCTACTGTTTTTTTGTTGTTCTAATAAACTCATTCTTGTTTTTCCAAAACCTCTGTAGTACTTTGTTATTCCGTCGGGACCACGTGCGGCCTCCAGGCCCTGAGTGTGTGGTGGTCTTGAACACATGCTCATTATCGGCCTATAAATACCCCCTCCCCCCTTCACAACATGACACCGGCGGTGAAAAACATGTTTTTGCTCCAGCGGCCGAGGTCCTGCAGTCTGCTCCTGACGGCTCCCTCTGCTGCTGGGATACTGTGAGTGTGACCTCATCGGGGGGGGCCGGGGGGCTGTTATCCATCCACCGGAGACACAAACACACTGTAGGTGCTTTACATTAGAATGTTCCAGACACAACGGGAAGAAACCCACACATGGATTCACAAGGAGACGAGATGCAGCGCTTCACCTCTGCTGGTATTGATGGTAGATGTATTGATAACTTCTAATCACCATAATGCAGTATTTATTTGTGTATTTATGGTGAGCTGAGCGTTGTCTGACGTCAAAGTGCTGATGGAAGCTGAATGAGACCACGTTAAAAGCATAAGGCGTCCGTCCATTGGTTCGACGCTTCATTCACTCCTCGGCGCCATCTAGTGGACAATAAATGCAAAAATGTGATAAACTGCTTGTTCCTCCTCACTGAGAGCAAAACACTCGACTAGATCTCCACTCTTTGCTGTCCTGCTCCTAAATGGTGGAAGGAGGTCTCTGAAGACATCAGGACCACAGAGAGCCTTCACATCTTCAGACTAAAGACACACCTCTTCAGACTCTACCTCCACTAACACACTAACTACCTGCAGCACTTACATTGGACTTATAATGGTTCTTATCTACAGCAAGTTGTACATTGGCCTATTTGAGGAAATTGCACTTTCTTGTTTCTTGTTCTTCTGAGTTTGTGTCCTGATGGTTGAAATGTTCTGATTGTAAGTCGCTTTGGATAAAAGCGTCAGATAAATGACATGTGATGTCATGTGATGTGATGATTGTATTGACACCATGGGACGTTTACGGCTTTAAATAGAGTAAATCAATTAATGCGGATTAATCCTGTGGGCTCAGGAGGTCGTGTCTCTCTAAGAGGTTCTCCTTTACTTTCCCAATGTGAAGGTGTGTTTGTTTGTTCCTTCAAGGAATAAAACAGAAACCCCTTTGCAGCGTAATGACTTTGCGGTTCCACTAGAGAGCGCTGTGACGTTAGAACCCAGAAGTCTCCTTCAGTCCACAGCAACAACGTCCCCTAAACCCTTAGACCTGAACCCTAAAGGTGGTGGTTCTATCTGATGGTGGTTCTATCTGAGGGTGGTTCTATCTGATGGTTCTATCTGATGGTTCTATCTGATGGTGGTTCTATGTGGTGGTGGTTCTATGTGATGGTGGTTCTATCTGATGGTGGTTCTATGTGATGGTGGTTCTATCTGATGGTGGTTCTATGTGATGGTGGTTCTATCTGATGGTGGTTCTATGTGATGGTGGTTCTATCTGATGGTGGTTCTATGTGATGGTGGTTCTATGTGATGGTGGTTCTATCTGATGGTGGTTCTATCTGATGGTGGTTCTATCTGATGGTTCTATCTGATGGTTCTATCTGATGGTGGTTCTATGTGGTGGTGGTTCTATCTGATGGTGGTTCTATCTGATGGTTCTATCTGACTGTGGTTCTACAAATAAATGAAATCACTTATTTAACCCCTCTGCTGATAAATTATGAAAGTTTGAGTAATCTTACAATCTGAATGTAATTATGTTTTAATTTTGCTTTATAAGCAGCAGCCGAGAGCATGACGCTAAAACAGCCATCAGAGCGCATCAAATCAACGCGTTATTCTATTCTATTCTATATCTATCGGGCTCTTTATGAAGCGCTGTCCTTTTTATCTGCTACTTTTAGGAGCCGACAGGTGAGAACATCTGCTCAGCGCTCCATCGGCTGGGATGTCGAGCTCCTCTCGTCTCCCCCCTCATTTATTTTAGATGACTTCACGACTGACCTACATTCAGCGCTCGGAGCCCCTCGGACGAACACCAACAGCTGGAACATCACATTTGCATTTTAGTCGTTTAAAGAAAAGCAAGAGGAGGTTAAATCCAACCAGTAACAAACGGTGCAAAACATCATTTCAACAGTATTTGATCTTCTAGTTTAGTGCAGCGTTGTTGTACTTCATCTGTGTCTCTGTAGAGAGACAACACGTGGGACACAAAGCAGATTTTGATGTAGATCAACATAAAGAGAAACAAAGGCCCGGAGAGATTCCATGAAGGACTAAAATAAATGTGTGAATGATTGAACGGGGACCTGTGAGCTGAATGAAAAGGTTGTTACATAATGAAGTATTTGAACTAACGTCCCAGCGGATTCATGATGGTGATCTCGTTACACCACGCGGAGGATTCCGTGTGCGTTAAATCGACCACACGCATGTTTGTGTGTGTGCTCATGTGGGGACGTGGATCTGATAACAGTGACGGTGTGGGGACCCAACTTTGGGTTTTTCACTTTAATTGGCTTTTAAAGTCTTGGTTTAACGCACGGGTGAGCTTAGGTTTGAGTGAGCTCGGCTTTAGAATGAGAGCGAGAGGTTTCGGTTGAGTACTTAACATGTAAGAACGCACGTTTGCAAGATGACAAGAGACAGAAAGCTGTGCAGCAGCGAGCGGGACGCTCACGTGGCCCCGTGTCGTCCCGTGTCGTCCCGTGTCGTCCCGTGTCGTCCCCGCGACCTGTTTTCATGCTTCGCTGCTCTTTAACGCTGTTCAGGGTTCAGACCTTCGCTGTGGCGCCGCAAAGGCCGCGCTCGCCCTCAGGAGGCGGTTCTTCACTGCGCGGCCGAGTCACGGGGACAACAGGGGGCCGCGGGCACCGCGGGGGGTCTGAGGCCGGCTCCTGAACAGCGCCCACTGACCCATGTTAGCGTTGTGAGGACGAGCCGGAGGCACGGAGACATTCGCTCATGAAGACAGCTTCTCAGCGAGAACCGCTGTCCGGGACGCGTTTCCTCCTGAGACGCGTTGGTGCCACAAAGTCAGAAGTAAATAAACAACCAGTAGTTTTCAATATTCACATTAGAGAAGGTCTGTGTGGAACAAACACCGGAGGCCACTGTGTTAGTTATTCTGATTCGTGCCTTTAACTCAACATGAGCGTCTACGCGACGTAAGAACTTGCTTCGCTTTGGTTTTAGTTACAATAATAAACGTGGGATTAAAAGCTGCTTCCACTTAGCAGAGAACGCTGGTTTATTTGAGGAGGAAGCCGAGGACGGTGAAACAGGACAATGGAAATCCTGTTTTTCCCTGTTTGAGCCATCCTTCAGAGACAATGACATTAATTATTTTATTGGTAAAATAGCTGCAGAACCTTTTTGCATCAACGAAGGATCTTTGAAACAGACGTTTCTTTTGTATCATTTCCGTCATCTGATGTAAGAAATGATTTCCTTTCCTTTCCAAAGGGGTCAGAGGTCACGTGTCTCCTACCACCACAGTTCGTCTCCAGGTGGCGTTCACGCCGACTCCGCCCTCAGCCGCCTCCTCAGTATCTCGCCGCGCCGCCGCCTCCTTGGCCTTCAGCGCGACGTAGCAGACGGAGAAGCGCTCGTTGACGATGGCGATGGGGAGCGACAGGATGAGGATTCCAGACAGGATGCAGAGGAAGGCGAGCACTTTCCCCGCCACCGTGTCGGGCCGCATGTCCCCGTAGCCCACCGTGGTCATGGACGTGGTGGCCCACCACCAAGCGGCCGGCACGCTGCTGAAGGTGGTGGCCGGGCGGTCGCTCTCCAGAGTGAAAGCCACCGCTGCGAATATGGAGATGCCGACAGCGAGGAAGAGGAGCAGCAGGCCGACCTCCTCGTAGCATTGAGCGATGGTCCAACCCAGCGACTTGAGGCCTGACACAAACGAGGACGGGGGACAACTCATCACGTATTCCGTCCAGATGAAACCGGCTGCAGGTCGAAGGCCAAACCGAAGGGTTCTGACCTTCTGACCACTGATCTAAATGACGGAGGAGTGATCAGCGCTGCCGTAGCCGACTTCCCCTTTACCCGTACCTGTCCGAACCTCTTCCCACAGATACTACAGGCCTCGGGCCAGATCTGCTTTCTATCGTAACCTCTCCTCTCTCTCTGATCCCACCCGCTCCACACATGTCCAGCACCTCGTCACAGGAGGCCTCTGGACCTGCCAGTCAGCTGCTCGCAAGGCCGACTTCATCTCCGGCTTCACTGTCCAGCAGTCGCTCAACTTCCTCGGTCTCACCGAGACCTGGATCACACCTGAAAACACCTCCACCCAGCCGCTCTCTGCTCCACCTTCTCCTTCAGCCACACTCCCAGGCCCACTCCATTTCACCCAAATGGAGCTTTTCCTCTACCACCATCCACCCCATTGTCGTTAATTCCCGCTGTAACAATCACTCACCCGGTACAATTAACCATCATTGTCCTCTACCGTCCGCCAGGCTCCTTAGGTCATTTCTTGGAAGAACTGGACATTCTCCTGTCTAATTTCCCCGAAAATGGACCTCCGCTCGTCCTCCTGGGTGACTTCAACATCCAGACAGAGAAGTCATCTGACCTCTTACACCTACTTTCTTCCTTCGCTCTGTCACTCAGTCCCTCTCCTCCTCCTCACAAAGCCGTCAATCACCTTGACTACATCTTTACTAGAAACTGCTCCACCACTAACCTCTCTGTAACTCCACTTCATGTGTCTGATCACTTCTTCATCTCTTACTCTCTGTAACTAACTGACTCTGTACCTGTTCTCTCCCTCTCTCCTCCCTCTCTCCTCCCTCTCTCCTCCTCTCTCCTCCTCTCTCCTCACTCTATCCTCACTATCTCCTCCTCTCTCCTCCTCCCTCGGTACTGCTCACCTCCTTTCTCGCCTGTGTTCTATCAGCCACCCGTCCACTGACTCTCTCTCACTTCTTCTGACGCTGCGGAGATTTTCTCCTCCTCTCTGGTCTTCTCTACGGAGTTTTTTGTCCTACTTCTCTGTCCTCCTCTCTGTCCTCCTCTCTGGACTCTCTGTCCTCCTCTCTGGACTCTCTGTCCTCCTCTCTGTCCTCCTCTCTGGACTGTCTGTCCTCTTACGACCCGACGGGTCGGTAAATCCCCTCCGGCTCCGTGTCGGTCTGAACCCGATAAGTGTCACTTGTGTTTATCAGGTGTAACTATGTCTACCATCTTTATTTTAGCACGTTAGCATGCTAACATTAGCTCATTAGCAGTAAACTCACCGAAGTTCTTAGTTCATCCTGTTCACCGTCAACACCACCTGACTCAATCAGATTTGGGCGGGCCGTCGGTTTACCTGTCGAGTGTCTTCCCAGCTTCAGCAGACGGAGCGACCGGAGGAGCCGGAGGACCTGCACCACGCGGCCCGCGTTCTCCAGGACCACGGATCCGCCGCGCAGCTTCTCCACCGCCAGCGTCACGTAGAACGGCAGGATGGCCAGCAGGTCGATGACGTTGAGAACACTCCGACCGAAGTGGCACTTATCCCTCGCGCAGAGGAACCGAAGCGCCAGCTCGCCGGTGAACCACGCCACGCACGCGAGCTCCAGGGCGTCGAACAGCAGCGCCGCGACAAAGTCCTCCCCCAGGTCCAACGAGATGAGCACCATGTTGACGACGGACACCACCACAAAGGCGATGGAGAGACAGCCGAAGGTGCGGGCGGCGCGGGACGATTCCGGTTTCTCCAGCAGGTCCCACAGGCGCCGACGGAGAGCCGGGCATAAGGCGCCCGCGAAGTCCTCATCGCCGACCTCGGGCTCGAACCTCGGCCGCACGTCGAGGTTTTCCTTCTGCTCCTTGCGGCGGGAGTAGCGCTCGCGGCAACAGGGGGCGATGCAAAGCTCGTCGATGCCCCAGTACTGGATCTCCTGCAGGAAGGAGATCTCACACAGCTCCTCCCTGACGTGCAGGTCACCCGTCTGGTAAAAGTTCATCACATACCTGTCGGGCCAAACAGGAAGTGGTCTGTCAGAATCACAGGTCTACAGAGGGAAACATAACTGCTGTTGGGACTCGCCCCAATGAGGGGACGTTCTCCATCAGCTCCACTCCCAAGTCATGTTTGGAGAACGAGGCGCCACCTACTGGAAGGTCTGTGAGTTCCGGTCGAAGAAGAACTCGTTCCCCGGAGGGTCGGCGTCGTCGCAGAGCTCCAGCGCCGAGCCTCGGGTGCAGCGGGCCAGCTTCCCCAGCCGGGTCTCCGGGTGCGGTGCCAGCAGCTCCCGCGACAGCACGAAGCGACTTCCCCCGACGTTGACCACGAAGAAGTCGAGCGGGTCGCTGACGCTGGAAGTCGTCTCACTGAAGAAGACACTGGAGTCCAGAGACACTGGGGAGGGTGTGTCCTTGTACGGCTCCGCCCCCGCCGCCAGGCTGTGGGGAGGGCTCATAATGGGGGGCGGGGGCGGAGTCGTACAGCAACCAAAACCTGCGATGACGATGACTAAACCAAAGTACAAACCAGTCAAACACAGTTTGACCTTTCAACTGGACGCTGTGACATCGGAGGCATCTAGTTCAAAAGAACTCCAAATATTGGCTTTTTATTCACAGACATTTGGACAAAACGGACCAAAGCTGTAAGAAAAAGTGTCCTCGACCCAAATGTCAGAGAATGTCTCTTTTTGTCCCTCGGACACTTATGGCACCGAAAAAAGTCACTGACTCGCGGGACAATTTGGGGGATTTGGGTTTGGAGATTTTCCTGAGACAAATGACCCGATCCAATGTAATCGAAATGTCTTCATTTCAACCCTTCATCTGGGCTTGTGAAGTAAGCTCAATGTTCTAAACACTAAAGAAAGAGTAACTGGCATTTTGGACTTTTTCTGTGTTAAAACATCTGTGCTGCACGAGCAGCTCACCGATTTCATTGCTTCTCTTCTGCTCTGCCTCTGTATCTTCTTCTCACTGATTCCCACCACATGAAGCTGAAGATACTTAAAGGTCCACAGGCTCTGTCCCTCTGCAGAGACGCCGTGGGACTGAGTCCAACAGGAAGGGATTGTGGGTATTTACCCCGTGGGGCTCCAGTGAGGTTAGTAAAGCTGAGCGCTGAAACGAAACGGCCGCTGGCGGCAGTCAGTTACATGAAGATGGAGAGAGCTTTTCATTGGAGGTAAAACAAGACAGAGAACTGAGCAGAGGAATTACTCCACGTGTCAAACAGAAGGGGGGTGAGTGGCAAACGGACCACTTAAAGCAACGCTATGCTAAGCTAGCTGCTATGCTACTTCCATCTCAACATCTAACGTCACCCGCACGGCACACAACCACCGCTGTGTCCCTAAACGTGGGGATTGTTGGCACCGTTAAATGATGGAGAGCTGAGAGCACAGTGCACGAGGGACGACAGGAAGAGTCACGAGTTCAACTTGTTCCACCCAGGTGGAAATCTTGCCTCTAAATGATCAAATGTGTGTTGTGTTTAAATTAACATTGACAATTTAAACAACAGTGTATAAAATACACACTTTCTAGAGGGATTACTCATTTATTTTTCTAATAATTTTATTCTTTAGAAGAACAAACATTCATTAAAAACAACACTGTAACAACAACAACGACATTGATTTAATCGGCACTATTCGAGAGTTAGGAATTTCAAAATGTGCAATTAATTGGTTAATTTGTTTTAAACAAGTGACAGCCCTATACATATATATATATATATGTATATATATATATATGTATATATATATATATATATATATATATACATATATATATATATATATGTATATATATATATATATATATGTATATATATATATATATATATATGTGTTTATATATATATATATATATATGTATATATATATAAACATTTTGTTGTCTCTGACATGTGCTTTTGGGTACCTTTTAAAACATAATTTAATGTATTATTATTTGTATAATTATCTATGCACGCTTATAAGCAACAAATCAAAGATAATTAACTTTAAAGAGCAGCAGTGTGTAAGATTTATCGGATTATTTTTATCAGGCAGCCACGTCCGGTTCTGTAAGTGAAGCTAAGGCTTTATGTGTTAACAAGTCTTCTTCATACAGCGTGATGTTCATGTAGTAGATGATGGTCCATGTAGAGTCAAACAGACCATGAAGCAGGAGACGCTTTAGGGCGGGGCTACATGCTGAGTGACGGCTGTCTACTAGAAACGTCTCTACGTCTCCTCAGTCCGAACAGGAAGCTGGATAAAAGCTCAAAGGTGAGTGTGATTCATTCAATACCACGTGTGTTTAACAGTTTCAGTTTTTTAATATAATTTAATTAATTTAATTCACCCTCACCGTTGCCATATTTTAAGCTCTCTACGTGATTTTTGTCTCTGAGGTATTAAGATTTTTAACATCGCATAAATAAATAAAATAATCTAAATGATTCATGAATCATTATCATCGCGCTAATCAATTTCATTTGACTTAAAAGTCAAGGGACATAATATTTCCTGCATTGCTTTGCATCTTTGCATCAGTTGTCGTCTTTAATCAAGCAACGACAAATGATCAGGGGACAAAGACACTTAGAACAAAGCAGGTGAGTCTTACCTGTGAACCTGAAGAGGATCTTTGCATCAAAGTAGAATCCAGATATAAAGTTAAGAATAATCACATGATCACAACAACATCAGACAGACAGAGAGCAGGAGGACAAGGAGGAGACAAGGAGGAGGACGAAGAGGAGGAGGAGGACGCTGCTCCTGGAGCTTCTTCTCTTTGCTGCTCTCTGAGCTTTGCGTTGCTGGTTTAAAGTTCATCGATGGAATGTATGAGAGCTGATAGTGTCACACGAGAGGAGGAGGAGAAGGAGGAGGAGGAGGAGGAGGAGGAGGCGGAGGAGGAGGAGGAGGCGGAGGCGGAGCTATGCTTTACCATTCTAAAGGAAAGGTACTATGGTGTTCTATAATGAAGTCTGTGGTGCTCGTGGACAAAGTCGTCTCTTATTCGTGCGCTGATGTTTGGAAGCTGTTTTCACGCCATGATGCAACATTTGCTCGTCCAAGTTAAACTGAAGCAAATGTTCACCTTCATCAAAACCCTGCATATATATTCACATATATAGATATGTAGTATGAATAGATATATAAATCATGTAATTCACTAGGCATCGATGCAAACACATGACCTGTCTTGTGTGTGTGTTTATTGATTTTTAGTTGTTTTGTAAATAGAAGAAGATAAATGCAATAAATGCACAAGCAGTATTTTATAGTTCACATCCTCCTCAGTGTAGAGTCTCCATCTAGTGACCAAAGAAAAACATTTCAGTGTTTTCATCTGTTCTTTTGTTAAAGATTTGATCACATTATCTTAAATTCAGATAAATTCCTATGAGTTCCGTCAGTACTCCTAGTACTATTACTACTACTAAGATACTAACTAGTATTAATGTATTGAGATTAAAAGTACAATATGGAGTTGGACTCAGTCGCTGATAGATTCTTTTCTGTGCACCAGATGATTTGTTTTACTGAAATACTAATATTTCTGCTGTTTAATTCACGTCACGTGTTCTATTTTTTTTTAAATTCTTTTTTGACCCATTGAAATAAAATAAACCAGGACATCAGTATTCATGCTGTCTGATCACAAATCTGGTAATGTTATAACATATCCATGTTGAATGGAAATGAAGGGAGCTAGTGACGTTAGCACCGTTACCAGCTAACTTTCGCAGGTTCCTTTCAGTTGCATCACCAAAATAAGATTTCTGGGAAACTTTTAAACTTTGCTGACGTGAAACTAGTTCTGTAAATAGATGAGAAATAAAAAACATAAACGAACACATCACCCTTCAGTATATTTTCTTTATTTCAATTTATTTTCTTTAATTTATTTTATCACTCTTAATGAGACCAAGGAGGGCGGGAATACGGCATTAGTGTGTCGGAGGCTACATCATTTATCTACCCGAAGAAGAAATACGTCATGCGTGCTCCATCCAATCAAAGGAGTGGGTCTCGCACTTATCCCCGCCCCCTGAGAAAACCGCCATCATGAAACCAGAAGGAGCTGTCAGATGATACGAAGCCCGCTGCTCCAGAACCAGGTGAACGTCTCTAGCTGCTCAGCCCGCGGGAGCGACGTTGCGTGGGAGTTTGGAAACGTCGTGACCTCCGTGGGCAGTTTGTTGCCTCCGTTCATCTCGTTTTAACGCTCAGGAGCGTAGCATCGCCGTTGCTAGCGGGGTGTTAACAGGCGGCAGCTAGGGCTAGTCGTGCAGACCATCAAACATTACGCTTTGTTTGCCTCTATTACGTTAGTTAATACCGGTTAATAACTAAAGCTCCACGGCGGGACTCGCCGGGTGGAGCTGTGATGGTTCCCCTGCAGTCTGAGCTTGCGAGCATAACGCGTTTAAGTGAACTGACGTTAGTCTGCGAGGCGTAATGTTACAGTTAAGTTACAGCGCTCCAAAGCGCGCGGACTGTTGTGACGTAAGCTAGCTAACTAGCTAGCTAGCTAGCTGCCAAACAGCATCCATAAATCCGTCCTTTTCAAGTACAGATTCTCTTACCAGGTAAAGCAAGAGTCCACAAGGCACCGTTCTCAGGAGTGACACTTTATCAGAAGACACTTTACGGGTCGGCATGCATCTAAACAGGCAAACGTTTTAATAAAAGCCCTTTTTGTGCGTTTTGAAAGAACTCACCTAAGATGCTAATAACGTTAGAACAGGTTAAAAATACTGTGTGTTTGTGTGTGACGATTTGACTTCCTTAAATACTTAATTTCTTCATACAAGACATGAACACCTAAGTTGACTTGATTTTAATAAGTGTGTGTGTGTGTGTCAGTACCAGTACCAGAACCAGACCAACATGGACAGATCGCCTGACATGCGCGTCTTTCTCCCCCAGGACAGACTGAGGCCGATATGAGCGTGGCGGAGGAAGCGATGGACAGCTCTGCAGCTGAGGAGGAGGTGGAGGACCAGCAGCAGGAGGAGGTGGAGGAGCAGCAGGAGGAGGAGGAGCAGGAGGAGGAGGTCCAGGCCAGTCCCAACAGAAGCCCCTCCAACATATCTGGTAAAGTGAAGGAGGCTGTTTGGCTTCCTCCGCTTGTTCTTCTTCTCCGACACAAAGAGACACGAGCCTGTAAAACCACAGTGACACACACACACACACACACACACACACGTTGTTATCCAACCAAAGTAAAGTAATTTTCCTGTGAGGGTTAAACAAGCCTTGCTGAACGGCCAATGTGTTCTCCATAAAGTTTCTCTGTAAAAACAAAGAAAACATTACGTTCAGAGCTCCAACAGTCATGTGACCATAGACCAGTGAACAGTTTTATATTTATAACATGAAACTGAGTGAACATGAAGAGCCTTCATTTATTTCTGACACCGGTGAAGCACGTAGACCTGTTGGCTATTTAGATACATTGTTTTTGTGTAGAATAATCATCTACACTAAAGACGTGTGAGTTTCTTTTTACTTTTATTTTGAAGAGACCATCCGATGTCTCCGTGATGTTTCGCTCTTGTCGCTGCAGCTGCTGGTGACATCATCGAGGGCAAGCGGGCGAAGAAGACGGTCGAGCGGCTCGACTTTCAGGCCCCGAAGCAGAAGGAGAAGCTCAAGATCGGAGACGGTATTTGATATTGGAGCTTTTTATCGTCTTCGCCGTTTAAAGATTTGCTCTGCAGTAAAATGTGGATGCTTCTGTATCTTCAGGCAGCGGAGACAAATTGGGAGACATCCCGCGCACCGGACACCACATTACCAAGATGAAGCAGGCCGACCTGAAACCTCTGCACGCCATCCTGTTCGACAGGCCGGGGAAGGTGTGAACAAAGCCTCAAGGAACAAATCTAACTTTGATATCTGATCATCATTCTATTGAATGCTGATCACCAAATCACCAAAAGTACATTTTACTGATTACACCTGAATGCATCATCATAATGTTCACTGAGCAGAGCCTGAACGCCTCATCGTGTAACTCAACAGCGAAGTCGCTCCGCCTCCTGTCGATCTGAGCCCTGATTGGTTGTCTGTGTCACGTGATCAGAGATGCTGAATGTCCTTTTGTCAGATGGCCTCGCTGAAGAAGAACCTGCGTCTGTTTAACGGGTTTCCTTTCCACGCCGGCAGCGAGCAGCACCTCAAGAAGCGGGAGAAGCTTCTCAAGTGAGTCGTTTCTTCTTCTTTGGGGAGGATGAGGAGGAGGAGGAGGAGGAAGAAGAAGAGGGGGGTCACTGAGGTCGTCGGACTGCAGCCAAATCTCCTCACTGGCTTTTCTGTTTCCCTCAAACGCAGGAACTCTAACTTCACCAACGCCAAGCTGAAGGCGGTGTGCGGCGTGCTGGACCTGGAGAAGAAAGGGACGCACTCGGACCTGGTGGACCGGATCCTGACCTTCCTCATCGCGCCGAGGAGCAGCGGCAAGGTGATTTCTATTTTAGTGATTCAAATGAATCCGTATTTTTCTTTATAAAAAGAAAAATTGAAATGATTAAGAAAATACTAACGTCTGGATTATTAGATTATCCCTGAACACATCACAGTAGCGCCATAAAGTCCTCGTGTTCACTGAGCAGAGCCTGAACGCATCACGATGCTCTGGAGGGACAGGGAGGACGTTTGAGACGCCCGGTTGTTTACTCCTCTTCTCCTCTTGGATCGCCAGCGTCTCCCCGTGAAGAAGAAGAGGAAGTCCAAGAAGAAGCTGTCGGGCGACGACTCGACGTCCAACGCCAAGAAGAAGAAGAAGAGCCAACCCAAACCCCGGTCCTCCTCCTCCTCCTGCAGCCCCAAGAAGTCCAAGACGGGGAGCAAGTCCAAAGCCATCGTCATGGAAACCAGCAGTGACGAGGACGAGAAGGAGGGGGCGGACGCCGGGGACAAACCGTCGGGGGAGGAGCAGGAGGAGGTGAGGATGTCCAGGCTGAGCAGGGATCCGTTGACTTCTGGTCTTTAGCATGTAGCATGTTTAGCGAGTCCTCTCATTCGGTTCTGTCATTTGACTATTTAACGATCCACAGACACTCGTTTCCTTCCAGTCTCTCAGGTCCAAATCGGCGCCATTGAAGAGGTCGAGGACACCAACGAAGAAGACGGGTCCTCCTAAAAAGAAAGCAAAGAAGGCGGCGTTGGACGAGTCTGACGAGACGGTAAAAAACGCATTGAACCTGCTGAGGGACGAAGCACCGAGGTGTGACGTCGCTGTGCAGGAAGATCAACTGCAGCCACGTAACAAAACCACAGCACGAAATGTGCAGATAGAAAAGCAAATGAGGGAGTTGTGTGTGTGAGCGACTTTCCCAAGACGGCGTCGGGCAAATCGATTCGCTTCTTCACGTCTGTGTGGAATCCACTCAGCATCAAACATAAAGTCTTAAAACGGCCATCAGGGACATTTCATAGAAGGACGGTGGGATGAATCATTCCAGCATTTGGTTTTCCTACATTTAACAGGAATGATCAGGAATATTTCCTTCATCTAAAAGTATCTTCTACATAAATGCTAGTAGTTAAATAATGACTAACTTCATAAACAGTGAATCTGCAGGTCAATAAAGCAGCAGCTGAGCCTGCGATTGTGTTTCTGGAGTTCTCCAAACTCTACATGACAATATCAAATATGAAGGAGACATTCTTTATGATTCTAGAGTTAAACCCTTTTAGTATGATTCTTCTTCTACTGAAAATAATACAATCAGATTTCTTGACATTTAAAGACATCTTATTTAATTAAAGCCATGTTGCATCGGCTCCATAATGAGGGAATAGAAATGAGAGAACTAGATTTGTCATCTGCAAACATTGTTGTAAAAAGGCTTTGACACAAGTCATTAGTACAGATTAGTTATTATGTATCAGTGTATCTTTGTTCATAACAACCTCCAACACAAACGTTTATGCAGCTTTTACAATAAGACTTTATGGTTTACCTTAAAGGTCTGAACATCCTGCACATACATTCATTATTGTCCAACACGGTAAGTAAAGCCGCGTGTTTGTTTCTGGTGTTTCTAGGAGTTGAATTGGACTCTTTACATTATGTCATTTATCAGAGAACATTTCAACCATAAGGACACAAACACAGAAGAAACCCAAGAAAGTGTGATTTCATCAAATAAGCCGATGTACAACTCGCTGTAGATAAGAACCATTATAAGTCCAATGTAAGTGCTGCAGTTAGTTAGTGTGTTAGTGGAGGTAGAGTCTGAAGAGGTGTGTCTTTAGTCTGAAGATGTGAAGGCTCTCTGTGGTCCTGGTGTCTTCAGAGACCTCCTTCCACCATTTAGGAGCAGGACAGCAGAGAGTGGAGATCTAGTTTTCTTTATGAAGCATAATCCTCTTTTTTTTAATTAATTTGTTTGGTATTTTTGAAGAACGGGATTCTAATAGAAATGTTTCTATAGTTGTAAAACTTGTGTTTTCTTCTGGTTCAACACCAGTTGTCAAAGACGAGGTTGAAGATTTGACTTTTATTGAATAAAATGTAACATAGTTGGAATAAAATCATGTTGACTGAACAGCGACCGTTTAGATCAACGTCTGTCACCTTCTGAAGTTCTTATTAAACCGATTCAATCAGTTTGTATCTTTACCTGCAGCCGTAATGGACCAGCAGGCGGATTCAGTCGACGCGCCTCGTGAGGACGGGAGACAAACAAGTAGCGAGCAGATGAAGAACTAAAACGGCTGAGCTGATGGCGGTTTCCATGGCAATAAGCCCCTCCCCCTCTGCCACGCAGAGAACAGACCGCCAATGAAAGTTTCACCACAGCTCTTGTTTTCTTCTTTTATTGGTTACAGCCCAAAAAGAAGAAACCCGCCGCCAAAACCAAGAAGGCCGACAGCAGCAGCAGCCGGAGGAACCCGAACGCAACCGGTGAGGCCTTAGAGGGGCGGGGCTTATCGCTATGGCAACGTATCGAATCGACCGTCTTCTGCTCAGTACTCGATTGCGGAAACAGGTTCATGACATCATGACGATGTCGCCACGATGTGTTGACTGAATCCCTCCCGACACATCTGGGCCGGTCTGTTGCAGCTGTGTCAGCTTGGTTCTGTCGTCTTCCCGCAGACGACTCGGACTCGGACGACGAGCCGCTCATCAGGTTGACCATGAAGCCCCCCAGTGAGGAGAAGCTGAAGGAGACGGTGCAGCGCCTCCTGGAGGAGGCCGACCTGAAGGAGATGACCATGAAGCAGATCTGTCAGAAGGTGAGGAGACGCACGCCGCCTCTCTGGCTCCTATTGCACCAGGTGTGATCATGTGACCATGCGATGGTGTGTTTTAGGTGTCTGACATGTATCCAGAAAACGACCTGAGCAGCAAGAAGGATTACATCAAACAGACGGTCAAATCTGTGAGTGCACACACACACACACACACACACACACACAGCAGGGGGCTATTGCACGAAACCAGGATAAGGGATTAACCCGGGATACTCACGTTGTCCTGGATCAATGTGGCGTGGACCTGGTTGTCCGCTGACGTGCGCAGTGAACACGTGTAAACGTGATGAGGCGGATAAATAAAGCTCCATCGTGTTGGATGAAGAAGCACGGAGACGTGAGGACGTTTGAGGGCAGATCAGACCAGCTGAAGCTGAGCTTTGCTGCCAGCAGCTTGTTCATCGAGTCATTTCTGCACCATTTGCAAACTAGGCTCCTACCAGCCGGCAAAATGGTTTTATATTTTATCTTGACCTGCTGCAGATGTTTTCCAGTCTTGTTTCTTCTGTATGAACATTAATAACATCTTTGACAGTTTATAGAGAACTTTCCTGTAAGTAGATCTTTTTCATTCTGAGCTTCATAGTTAAGTTACAGATAAACACTGAGGCTTTTATTTTGAAATGATGGAATTGGAGTAGGACAGAATGTTTGTCCTTCAAACTAAGATCCAAGATCAGAGAATCTGCATCACAAGTGAAAGTTACTATGAAACGCACAAACAGCATTCCACCGACTGCTGAATTTTATTCACGCATATAAATATCATTTCTTTATTTCCTCACAGCTCATCACATGAAGATTTGAAGAACAAAGTTAAACGACTTTTTTTTTTCTCAGTTTGATCATTTTTTATCTCGTGTTTAGATTTTTCAGATTTGTCGTCAGTTGTTTTTCTGTGTGAACTTTGTTTCAGAATGAAGTTTTTCTGCATTTGTAAATATGTTTCTAAATAGCAAAAGCTCTTTTTGATTAATGCTTATTTTATTAACTTCAAAAACATTTCTTTTTGTCTTTAATTTACATTTTAAAATGAACAGTTTACCAACTGGTGAATAAAGTTGTTTTTTATAACATTGTTGTTTAAATTTGTGACACGCTTCCTTCAGTACTAATATTCAGTAGTAAAAGTACAATAGCATGAGGTACAAATACTGCTATACTGTTCCAGGAAAAACTCCTTTAAACATTGGACTACAGCGAACGTATCAGACTAAAGTCTCATCGAGGTCCTTAAACCTCATTCTGCTGCAGCAGCGTCTCCGTCCTGCTGCAGCAGCGTCTCCGTCCTGCTGCAGCAGCGTCTCCGTCCGTAACCGGTAACTTCTGCAGACTTTTAGCAACTAAAACTCGAAACTTCCATAGAAACAGTTTGAGGCAAAATGTGTCGGACTTTACCTTTTATTTAATTTATGAATGAATCCTTGAAACGTCTGTTTAATCTCTCAACGCTATGAATTGTGGGTAATGCGTCTAACGGATTTAAACCGTTTGAAGGTCTCATGTAGATTTCAGTAAATGTTTAGCGGACAAATCAAATAGTTTAAATGCATTTAACGCTTAAAAGGAGTAATTCTAGTCTCCTGTTTGTGGACAATAACACAAGCGAGTGCAAACATCTCATTTCCTGCTCGAGTGCAGCGGCCTTCTGTTGAGGCTCCGCCTCCATTTAGAGCTCCGCCTCCTGAATCACCTCCAGGAACCAAAGTGCGTTGTTTGTTTGTGCGTCTTGATCCGAGTTCCACTGCAGCTTCCTGTTCTCTCAACCTTATTTCCCGTACGTGGTGAGAAAGCCACGAGGACGTCCGCAGTGGTCCCCCGTCCTCGCCTCCGTCCCCTCATTGGCCGCCGCTCTCTCCCAGCAGCCAGTAGGTGGTCATCTTGCCTTTGCCCTTGAGCTCGACGTCCCCCCTGCGCTCCAGCTGGAAGCAGTTGAACTCCAGCAGGACGTCGCGGGTCGCCGCCGACACGTGAATCTTCAGCGCTAAAAGAGACGCGATCCATCTTTTACTTATTGATCGTTTATTGTTTATTGATCTTTCAGGTTCTGATCAGCACGGACCTTCTCCGCTGGACTCCATCCGAGACGACGTGTTGACCGTGTCCCCAAAGAGACAGTAGCGAGGCATCTTCAGCCCCACGACACCAGCACACACCGGACCTGTAGAGGGACATCGAGACAAGGGGACGCGGGACATTGAGACAGGGACATCGAGACAAGGGGGACATAGAGACAATGAGGACACAAGACATAGAGACAAGGAGGACACGGGACATCGAGACAGGGGGACACGGGCCATCGAGACAGGGGGACACGGGAGATCGAGACAGGGGGACATAGAGACAAGGAGGACACGGGACATAGAGACAAGGAGGACACGGGACATAGAGACAAGGAGGACACAAGACATAGAGACAAGGAGGACACGGGACATCGAGACAGGGGGACACGGGACATGGAGACGGGGACATAGAGACAAGGAGGACACGGGACATAGAGACAAGAGGGAAAGGACACAAGACATTTTGGATCATTTTCATTCTTCCTGAAATTCATTTGGTGTCAGAAAACCATCAACAAATGTCAAATATATTTATATGCTCTTAAAATATTGATTAATCGATATATTGTTTCAGTAATTGATAAATGTGAATTTGATATGGAAATAATTATATAATTATATATATATATATATATATATATATATATAATTATATATGAACTAATGAGCGTGTTGGTGATTTATTCTCCGCTCATGTACTGCGTTACGGCCACAGACTGCGTGTACTTGTACCCTCGCCATGTACTTGTACCCTCGCCGTGTACTCGAGTACTCACCGCTGTGGAGGCCGATCCGCAGCCTCAGCGGCTCGGACAGGTGACGCGTCCTGAAGGAGCGCACGGCGTCCAGCAGGGCGAGCGCCATGCGGCCGATCTCTCTGCCGTGCAGCTTCCCGTTCCTCACCGGCAGCCCCGACACCACCATGTAGGCGTCGCCGATGGTCTCCACCTGGGGGGGGGGGGGGGACGCCGCCATGGCAACAGCAGCAGGTGAGAGATTGAGAGGAACCCTGTGATCAATAGATCCTAAGAAGGGATCCATTGATCCAGACGCTTCCCCTCTGAAGGTGCGTCGGTCACCTTGTAGACATCGAAGTTGTCGATGATGGCGTCGAAGCAGGTGTAGAGGTCATTGAGCAGAGTCACCACCTGCAGGGTCACAGCGTTATGGATCCACATGTTCACTGCAGCAGCAGAACATCTGTGAGCAGGTGACTCGCCTGCATCGGCGTGCTCTCTGCAGCGATGGCGGTGAAGCCCACGATGTCACTGAAGTAGATGGTGACGGAGTCGAAGGCCTCCGCCTGGACCGTCTCCCCCCGCTTCAGCTGCTCCGCCACCGAACTGAGGGGAGCGTTACATGTGTGTATTTATATGTACACACATCACATCACACGTCATTTATCTGACGCTTTTATCCAAAGCGACTTACAACAAGAAGATTTCAACCATAAGGAAACAAAGTCAGAAGAACAAGAAACTAGAAAGTGTGATTTCATCAAATAAGCCGATGTACAACTTGCTGTAGATAAGAACCATTATAAGTCCAATGTAAGTGCTACAGTTAGTTAGTGTGTTAGTAGGTAGAGTCTGAAGAGGTGTGTCTTTAGTCTGAAGATGTGAAGGCTCTCTGTGGTCCTGATGTCTTCAGAGACCTCCTTCCACCATTTAGGAGCAGGACAGCAAAGAGTGTTTTGCTCTCAGTGAGGAGGAACGAGCAGACACGTGTGTCTGTATGTATATATATATATATATATATATATATATATATATACACACACACATATATACACATACAGTATGTATACATTCAGAGTACACCCACTGAGGTAGTATCTGGTAGAGCAGAGCTTCGGCCTTGCGTTTCTCCTCGTGATAAGCTTGAGTTCGTTCCTCCACCAGCTCCTCCAGGTTGTTGGCGTACTGCTCCATACGAGACAGGAGGTTGTCCAGGATGTTGGTCCTGGATTCCCTGAAAACACACACACACACACACCTCTTGTTATCTGACCTCTAATTAAACCCCCCCCCCCCCCTGAGCTCTCACTTGTTCTGCTTGCGCAGCAGCAGGCGGACGTGGTTGAACTCCGGCCTCTCCGTTGGCTCCTCGGCCCAGCAGCGCTGCATCAGCTGACCCAGCTCCGGGCTGTGGTTCTGGGGGTCCACGGTGGGTCTGAGGCAGGGCCACTCGCCCAGGACCACCCGGTCCACGATCTCTGCGGGGGGGGTAACGTGGCGTTAGTGCTTATTAAGAGACAGGAAGTAGGAAAAGAGGTTGGACACGGACGGATTGTGTGAAATGACTCATCTAGAGAGCTGGTTAGTCGGCACTAGAAAGGTCCCCTGTCCGTCTCAGGTCCTCTCGTCCTACCTTTGGGGCTCAGGGGGCTTCCCTCCAGGTAGAAGGCTCCTTGGCGCAGCGCCACCTCCTGGAGGACGATGCCGAAGCTGTAGACGTCTCCTTTCTGGGTCCCCTGAGGAGGAGGAGCCTCCATCCTGAGCAGCTCCGGCGCCATCCACAGCCTCTCTGCAGCGAGGGACGACGCGCCGCATCAGAACCATCGCTCGTCTGAAGGTCTCATTGAGAAACAACTCGTGACTGAAGCAGAAGCCGAAATATCTTTTATGTTTTCTAAAAGGGCCATTTGGAGACTCCGCAGGGCCGTCGGTAACCACGGTAACCACGGTGACCACACCTGGGCTAACCAGGCTGCTGGTTAGCAACAACTGGCTCTCCACGCGACAGAGGAGGGGCGGGCTCGGGGCGACTCACGGGCGTAGTAGGCGTGCGCGTCTGTCGCCGAGTCGCCCGGCGACCGCAGGCTGGACAGACCGTAGTCGGTGATCTTCAGGACGAAGCGGTTGTCCACAACGCAGTTTGAGGACTTGAGTTTACCGTGAGACACGATGACGCTGTTGTGGAGGAACAACATGCCCTGCAGAGAGACGGGGCTCAGACACACACATGTATGTGCACACACACACGCACACGCACACTCTGCATGTACACTATGAACATGAGCGGATAAGAAACCTTGACGATGTCGTTGATGAGAGAATATTTGAACATCCAGTCCAGGGTGATGCTGTCGTTCTCCAGGATGTCCTGCAGACACAAAGGCCGCGTTAGCAGAGAGACAGACGGACGGGCGGGAGGACAGGGCGGACAGACGGGTACCTGCAGGCTGCCTCGGGAACAGTACTCGGTGATGATGCAGGTGTCTGGGGGGTCGATGCAGGCGCCGATGAATCGGGTCAGATGTTCGTTCTGAATGTCTCGCATCTCCACAAACGCATATTAACAGTTTCTTTCTTTTGTCACACGTGTAAATCTTTTTTCTTTTTAAACAATGTTGCTGCTGATTTCTTCTTGATTCTCACATTTGAAATAAAACCAAACTGAACTGAATATATAACATGAAGTGAAATAATATTAAATTAAAGAGGTTTTAACGTGTTTTTACTCACATGTTTGAGCTCAAACAGGAGCTTCCTGTTCAGCTCGATGCGTTTCCTGTTGGTGTGTTTAATGGCCACGATGTTCCCCTGGAACACAAGAACAGACGTCATCCAACACGCCCCAGTCCAGGAGGACGGAGGACGGAGGAAGGAGGACGGAGGACGGAGGACGGAGGAAGGAGGACGGAGGACGGAGGAAGGAGGACGGAGGACGGAGGACGGAGGAAGGAGGGTTGTAGTAGGAGGTAGGGGGAAGGAGGAAGGAGTCTCCTCCTGACCGTGTGGAGCAGCTCTCCACACTCACTTTGTAGTATCCGGTCTTTGCAAAAACCTGCAGGTTTCCGTCTCCAGTCATCAGGGAGCCGCAGTTTGAGCCTCTCTGGAGAGACGGACACACGGTCAGTGTGTGTGTGTGTGTGTGTCTGTGTGTGTGTGTGTGTGTGTCTGTGTGTGTGTGTGTGTGCGCTGACCAGAGACAGTGTGACTCTGCTTCCACTGCGCAGCACCTTGTCCTGGTTACTCATCTGGATGTCGTCCCAGGACATCCTCCAGAGCTGAGCCACCAGCTCCTTCTCTAACTTCATCTTCCTGTGGGGACAAAGGGACAGACAGGAGAGGACAGGGACAGACAGGACAGGACAGACAGGAGAGATTTTTCAACATCCGTTTATTGCTCCAATAAATCAAATAAAAGCATCCGTCACAAACTAACAACCAGCCCCCCACAGAGCAAAGACACTGAACCAACAGACTAGATGTTCCTCTGCGTGCAGAACAACCCCCCAGGCTGTGGAGCAGCTGTCCACGCCCTAAAGGAGGCTCAGTAGGTCCAGAAGAAAGTCCACCAGCACTGTGGGTGTCCTCCATCAGGCCTCTGGGTGGCGCCAGACTACTGGTAACCAGAACGCTCCACCATTTCCATTCAGAGGAGCCGGCACACGTTCTCCCAGCAGGAAGACCACCGCCCCCCAACGAGGCCTCGTTCCTCCAGTTACAGGAGAGGGACAGAGGTTCCTTCTTTTTACTTATGAAGAACAATACGAACAAGCAAAAAACAAATGACAACCAAGCCTCAACAATCAGTTCTAGAATATAAAATATATATTTAATCAATTAGCCACCAGAAGAAGGCATTGACTCTCCAGGGACCTTTGGTAGCTCACATTAATGTCCTCATACTCAGAGTACAGGAAGTAAAAACTCTCCTCCCTGAATCAGAGCGCATGACGTGGAAACTCTACCCGTTCTTCTTCTCCACACCACCCGTGAACCGTCGCCTGACCGGCGCCCAGCAGGTCCGCCAGAGCAGACTGTTTACATTTGAGATCTTTAATATGGTCCAGTGGATTCTGCAAAGTTCTGCAGTTCCATCATTTCATCATAGATGTCCATAGATTCTGTCTCGTGGATCTGGTGTACCGCTGACAGAGACGTGTTAAAATGCCAGTAGGAGCTTTGACCTCCCATTTGGGATGAAAGCGCTGCACAGGAGCAGCGCTTGTAGCGTGAAGGTCTGCCAGGTTCCTGGTGGTTCCTCCGTCCAGTTACAGAAATGAGAAATCCTCCACCTTCACTCTGCTTAAAGCAGGACGGTGGTCCTGAGGCTCAGCACCACCTCGCCCCCCCACCCTCTCCTCCAGTCGGTCTCATCAGCAGCTTCCACGAGCTGGTGGAGCAGAAACCTCAGAGTCTCGTCTCCAGTGTCCATGTTTGACAGACAACAAACAAAACGCTGTCTTTGACTTGAAGAGGATCGGTTCTAATGGTGGATTTCCTCGTTGTCTTCGTTTCTCTGAAGACTTTGCTGTGACGCCTCCCTTGTTTTTGCTGCTGAGACGTGTCCTCCTCGTCTCCTCGCTCAACTGCCCTTTCACCTTTTGTCTTCTGTAGAGACCTTTATTCTCCCCACACTGTCCTCCTCCATGCTGGACTCCCTCTGCGCCTCCACTCCTCGTCTTTCTCTGAGGGATTTTAATCACGTCCTCGTCTGTCTCCATGTCCACCTCACCTCCCGTCAACCCAGCGTCTTTCACAACTTTCCCAGTTGTCCTTTTTCCTTTTACTATTTTCTGTCTCCACCTGTCCTCCAGTGCACACTTGGCTGTTGTCCTGACCTGGTGCACTGACCTGAGCCACCACTGTCCCCGACACACAACGTTACCCACAAAATGATGAAAAGAGATCGCTAGTAATCGCTATCAGACCCGCGCTGCGTCCTTCCAGAGACAGACAGAGAGAGACAGACAGAGGGAGACAGGCGAGAGACAGACAGAGGGAGACAGGAGAGAGACAGACAGAGGGAGACAGGAGAGAGACAGAGGGAGACAGGAGAGAGGGAGACAGACGAGAGACGGACGAAGGGAGACAGTTTCGAGTAAGGTTCATGCACTGCACATTGCATCATACATTTCCCACGATGCACCTCTGCTCCATCAGCCTGTTGAAGCTGCGTCTTTCAGTTGTCACTTTAAAGTTGTCAAACTTCAGTGTCCAATTTCAACGAAACCTCAAAGCCACATGAAACCTGTGCAGATGGAAGAAGAAAGACCCAGAAGCAGAAGCAGAGGTGAGCTCTCACCGGTAGACGAAGATGGTGACGGTGAGGATCATGGTGGCGATGAAGAAGACCACGATGGAAACCATCTGGTTGATGGTGACCGTCTCTGTTAGAGGGACACAGTCAATACTAGTCAAGTATCCCAAACGTTATTCAAATTCATCACTAACACTGCATTTTACAGATTACCTATGAACGCATCATCATGACGTTATAATGTTCTCATGTTCACTGAGCCGAGCCTGAACACATCACAATGTAACTCGTTTCTGTTGACCCCCTGTGATGACATGGAACATTGAAGGGAACCTCCGTTAGCTAGCCGATAGCGCTTAGCTGCTAACGTTACTAGCTCCTCCTCCTGTTCACACAATCTAAACGACGTCACGTGATCAGCGATGGCGTCCCAGTCTTTATTTACACCCTGGTCACAGTAACGGCTTCTCACTGACTTGTGAGGCAGGCGGGGTTGTCGTTCTTGAAGCCGCAGACGGGAACATCTGGAGGAACAACTCCTCCCGGCCAGTGCAGCGCCGCTCCAGCTGTGGCGTTCAGCTGCTCCTCCGAGCTGTTGTACACCAGAACGATCTGGAATAATGAAAAGTCAGAGTTTAGCTGCGGACGACACGCTTCTCTGTGCAGCAGGTCACGGCGAGCCGGAGAGCAGCAGGGGCTGATTTCCTGTGTTGACCATGAACTAAATATCCTGTTTCTGCTTTCTCTCATATCTCATATCCAGAGAAGTCTCTCACATCAAGACGAGGAGCAAAGAACTAGTAAATAACTGGTTTGCTGAGTGGACTCTGGGTGGGTGGTGAGGCAGGAGGACCATCTCATCTCGGATTGGCTGTAGACTCAGTGCCCAGTGGAAAAAGAAACTGAGGAGAAATGGCGTCTTTGCGTTGACTTTGTTTGCAATGGAGCCGTTGGTGCAAACACATGTAGTTAGTGTTCCTACCATTACAACAGCCCCCTGAAACTGTAACCCAGGGGAAACACTGTAGGAGCATTTGAACATTTGAAAGGAGGTAGTGAGCCGAAGATTCTGGGGTCGTCGTGGCGCAGGGGTTAGAGAAGGTGTGCTGGGAAGCACAAGGTTGGTGGTTAGAGTCCAGGCTGCCCCATGTTCCATGTTGAAGTGTCCCTGAGCAAGACACCTAACCCCTAATTGCTCCCCAGGCAAAAATGTGAAAAAGCCATGAGTTTAAAGTGTGATGTAAGTCGCTTTGGATAAAAGCGTCTGCTAAATGACCGGTAATGTAAAGATTGACCTCTTCTTATTTGATAAAAGTGGAATAAATCATCGTGAAACTACGTCCTGCAATGAGTCAGCGCGGGAGGAAGAGAGAGGATCAGGCATAGATATGTATATAAAGACTAGATGTCTCGTCCATAGATATGTATATAAAGGCTAGATGTCTCGTCCATAGATATGTATATAAAGACTAGATGTCTCGTCCATAGATATGTATAAAAAGGCTAGATGTCTCGTCCATAGATATGTATATAAAGACTAGATGTCTCGTCCATAGATATATAAAGGCTAGATGTCTCGTCCATAGATATGTATATAAAGGCTAGATGTCTCGTCCATAGATATGTATATAAAGACTAGATGTCTCGTCCATAGATATGTATATAAAGACTAGGTGTTTTGTCCATAGATATGTATATAAAGACTAGATGTCTCGTCCATAGATATGTATATAAAGACTAGGTGTTTTGGTGCTGTGATTGGCCGATTACACCGGACTAGTTTGCCCCGGTGATTCTGTCCTTCATGAGACACTTTACGAAGCTCTTCAGATTACAGTATAATCCATATATATATACACAACGCTTCCACGTGTCTGATGCCCTCCAGCGTTTAGATGAATGAGAAAAGGGGGCGTGGCTTATCACCTGGAAGGCGCTGGTGTTGGCGTCGATCACGTCCCACAGAGCGAAGTCTGTCTCTCGGTCCCCGTTCTCGTCCAGGTGGACGAGGCCAGTCACACCTGGAGGACACAAGATGTTCAATGAAGCAGAAAAGGAAATTAAAGCTTTTCTTACCCAATTTACTTTTCTCAATGAAGCGTTACAATTTTCATATTCTATCTATTTTCTCATATTTTGGAATGCAGACCTACTTTTATTTGGTTAATGAGAGAACATAATTTATATTTGCAGACACACATCTATGTGCAGTTATTTGTTACGTGACGTGAAGAGTTACTGATTGATTAAATGCAATTCAGAATTCAGAATGGAGATTCGGGCTTTATTGCCCCATGTATGGTTGGCACATCAACAGGGGACGCAAAATTGTGCTTTTTTGGGAGAAAATAACATGACCAAGGCAAATGTTAAGGATTAGATAGTATTAGAAACCCAGGCAATTAACCCAGACGTCAGGTTCAACATAAGTCCACAGACCCCGGTATTCCGCCTCACGGTGTTTAGAAGCAGTGATGCCCAAAAAATGCTTAGTAACCACATGGTCCCCCCGTTGTTCACAAGGTTGGCTCATATATCAACCATTAGCAGAAAAAGGGCAAAGATATCGGATTATTCTGTGTGAGCTCCCTCCAGCGCGCTGATGATTTACGCAACCCGGGAGGGTTCATAAAGCACATCGCAAGAGCTTTTGACCCCCGGCAGTTTTTTTCCTTGGGATTAGGATGGGGGGGGGGGGGGGTCAAAGGTCAGAGGATGTTGATCGTGTACAGATCTATAGCACCTTTAATCTGATTCTGGGCCCTACGAGAAGAACTGGATTGTTTTTTATTGTTTCCTCTGCTGTTCTGGCAGGTCGGTGCTCCTGACCCGTCCTCTGTCCACGCACATGACCACACAGCGTTACCATGACGAACAAAGCTATAGACGAGGGCGACTATACGCCTCAAACGTGAACCTAATGCCCCCCCCCCACACACACACACAGCCCTTCAAAATAAAGCCCCACCACTGCTCCTCCTGGCGCAGCCAAGCAAGCAGCCAAAAGCAACCCGGGTCGGATCAGGTGACAACGCGTCCTCATTGGCCGAGAGGACGAGCGTGAGGTCAAAGAGGTCAGACCTGAACCTCTGTGTGTGTCTGTGTGTGAGGGTGTGTGTGTGTTTTGGACTTGTTTACAACAGAGGAAGTTGGTGGATTTTATGTCATTCATCAACTGGACCTCCGACACACAGAAACAGTTCAAACTGAATCCAGACCAGCCGGCCCTGCTCACCCTCCTACATACTTCTATGTGCTTATATTGCAGTCTTCTTTTCTCTGAAACACCAGAATTAAATAAAAATAAAAGTGGAGAAACACTCAGAGAGAAGAAGCGAGGCTCCACTGACCGTAGAAGGTCCGGTTCCACATCCTCTTGGTGACGACCTTTCCTGGAGGCCGCCCGGCGGACACGGACATCGTCTCGTTCAGAGCGCGAGTGAAGAGCATCACGCCGTCGTAGAATCCTCCGGCTATGATGTTCATCTGGACGCACAGAAGAGAGGAAGATGGAGGGCAGATGGGATGAGAAGAGAGAATCTTTCAGCCTTTTAACTTTCATTTTCAGTGTTTTTAACCCTTTCTGTAAGTAAGATGCACAGAGCGTCGTCATGGCGACGGTGACCGAGTACTGAACACGTCTGTGGTCACAATCACGCTCTGATTGCATTTGAATCGCCTTAGAAACCGGGAACCATTAACGGCTCTGCTGAAAACTAATTGCCCCGATCATCCGAGGGTAAAATCGCTGCCCCACAGTGAGATGAGACGAACCACAGCTTTGATCCCCACCCGTGATGTTTGACGCAGCAGCAGGTGGACTCTCCATGGGATCCATGAAGGAGTATGTAAGTAAAGCGTGTTCATAGTATGTTCCACTCTGAATCTTTTCCCTCTTCAAAAACAACAGACTCACCAAATTTAATGATTGGATTTGATGTGAGAGAAGCCACGTGATGGATGTCAAGGGTTAATGACGTGTGGTATTAACGGTATTCACATGAGCAATCGAGATCTGAACCCTCAACCTCAGCGCTCCGATTAGAATAAGCGGCTAAACAGAGTATTTAAAAACCCAGACGTGGAAAAATAGTGTAAAGCCAAACAATGGTCAAAATATCAAATAAAACACAAAAGGCTGCAAATGTGACAAGTTGTGTCAAATATAATCGCCACAATCTGATTACACTTACAGTTTTTACAGTCACTTTGCCGCTAATTTTAGAACCTTGATGCCATTTTTCAGAACGCTTGATACAAAACTCACAACCAATGATCAACACTTTTTTTTCAATTGCTTGGATACAAAAACCAAAGATCATTTGTTCATTGAACTAAAATCACCTGCTAAATACGACTCAATGTGACATCAAAGTAGTATTTAAAAAGTAATTTAGACACTGTTTCGGTCCCCATGTAGCACTTTTCACACCACGCTGCCGCCCTTGTAAGTCCAAGTCCCAACGTGCGGCAACAGGCCTGGATGAAGCGTGCAGACCAGTGTCATGCCTGGATGAAGCATGCAGACCATCGTCATGCCTGGATGAAGCGTGCAGACTAGAGTCAGGCCTGGATGAAGCGTGCAGACCAGGGTCAGCCCTGGATGAAGCGTGCAGACCAGCGTCAGGCCTGGATGAAGCGTGCAGACCAGCGTCAGGCCTGGATGAAGCGTGCAGACCAGCGTCAGGCCTGGATGAAGCGTGCAGACCAGTGTCAGGCCTGGATGAAGCGTGCAGACCAGTGTCAGGCCTGGATGAAGCGTGCAGACCAGTGTCAGGCCTGGATGAAGCACGCAGACCAGTGTCAGGCCTGGATGAAGCGTGCAGACCAGCGTCAGGCCTGGATGAAGCGCGCAGACCAGCGTCAGGCCTGGATGAAGCGTGCAGACCAGGGTCAGGCCTGGATGAAGCGTTGCCTCAAGATTATTTCCAAGATTTTTGGCTGATGAAAACATCCATTGTGATGTGGATCAGAACCTGTGGCCGGATCCACAAGACGGGCTGATGAAAATGTAGATGAGTTGTTTTCATGTTGTGCAGCAAATGACTCTATTTTTGCTTTGAGTCAAATAAACCTATGTTGGGATTTTATTGTATTTCATAACAGTCCAATGGTGATTCCACTGTGTGTACTGTATCATCTATTTTTTTACAGCAATATTGAATGATTATACAAACAACCACATAGTGAAACTATGGTATTTTGTGTGTAAGTGATCTTAATGAATGTTGCTGTGGTATTTTAGGACAAATCCGTTGTTTCAACCAATAAACCCGCAAGTGAAAGGTTTCTTTAAAGATATGATTGCACAATGCAATGTTTTGAACATTGGAGAGCCGGTTAAGTGAAGACTGTTGAGTTTTGTATCTAAAGTTTTGAAAAATGACATGAAGGTTCTGAAAATAGTATCAAAGTGATTGTAAAAACTGTAATGAGGACGAACCAGAGACGGAAAAACATCCAAGACTACAGAAAGGGAAACAATCCCACGCTGAGAAGTGAACATGATCATTTAGAGTGAACGTGTGTGAGGGTGAGCAGAAGCCTGTGATGATCATTATACAGGCCTGTAAAGGTCAAAGGTCGGCTGTGTGAGAAGCTTTGAGGGATCCTGTTTCTCCCCAGGGATCTCACCGTGTGTGTGAGTGATTGTGTGTAAGTGAGTGTGTGTGTGTGTGTGTGTGTGTTAACATCATCAGCCGTCTGTCTGCTGCTGATAAACTGGCTTCACAAAAATGCCAGATAACAATCACACACATACGGTGGCTGCTGAGGGACAAACGCAGCTGCTGTACACAAGCAGATTACAGCATTGAGACCAGATCACCCAACTACCTACTAACATGTCACCGGTAACACGTCACCACCAACACGTCACTACGTCACCAGTAAATTGTCACCACCAACACGTCACCGGTAACACGTCACCAACCAACACGTCACTAGTAACACGTTACCAGTAACTTGTAACCACCAACAAGTCACTAGTAACACATCACCAGTAACTTGTCACCACCAACACGTCACTAGTAACAAGTCACCACCAACATGTCACTAGTAACACGTCACAAGTAAATTGTCACCAACACGTCACTAGTAACACATCACCAGTAACTTGTCACTACCAACACGTCACTAGTAACACGTCACTGGTAACTTGTCACCACCAACACGTCACTAGTAACACGTCACCACCAACATGTCACTAGTAACACGTCACTGGTAACTTGTCACTACCAACACGTCACTAGTAACACATCACCAGTAACTTGTCACTACCAACACATCACTAGTAACACGTCACTGGTAACTTGTCACCACCAACACGTCACTAGTAACACGTCACCACCAACACATCACTGGTAACACGTCACCACCAACATGTCACTAGTAACACGTCACTAGTAACTTGTCACCACCAACACGTCACCGGTAACACGTCACCAACCAACACGTACTAGTAACACTTACCAGTAACTTGTAACCACCAACAAGTCACTAGTAACACATCACCAGTAACTTGTCACACAACACGTCACTAGTAACAAGTCACCACCAACATGTCACTAGTAACATGTCACAATAAATTGTCACTAGCACGTCATTACTACACCTCACACTAACTTGTTATACCATCACTCGTACTAATAGTATTACAACTTATACACTACATTCACTACAACACTCGTCCTATATGTATCAGCACA